GCTCGAACTCAGAACTTTCACTTCAGCATAAGATGTACCCCCCCTGAATACATAAGAAATAATGAAAATAAAAAAACTAAAAAGATGGGACGATTCCCCCGAGACATTCTATGAAGCTGAGGCGTCGAATCGGCTTACGTTACGGTTAGAGATTTCGGCTCTTCCACGCTATCCCGAGTGAACATAAAACTTAGTCTTAACCAAAAGGCCAGGGAGTGAGGGGGTAGCCGCCCACTAGAGCATACCTTTAGCTACCCTCTTAGACCATCGTACTATGAAGACACTTATAGATATCTRATATCTAATTKGGGTAGTCTATTCGGTGAAGTTCTATGCTAATATATGACGTCAMCAARATCCTTAGGGATCAGCGAGCCAATCAGAGCTCAGCTCGGRAATTAGCAAGCGATACAGGCTTTGCATAATCATTCTTCAGTRGATTTATTATTTGATGGGGGTGGGGATGGGTGCTGAGTGCTGATTTGCGACCGAATACCGATGTTCGATGTAATGTGACGGCTTTCACCAAGGTGTTGAATTTTCGTTATTGCTTTCTAATCATCACAGGAAATGGTGTACATTTCTTATATCAGACAGACATTATCGGATAAACACAAAATGCTCTTGAAATTCTTAACGTAAGTGGTTTACAAACTAGGCAGATATTTGCTGGAATTCAACGAAACACAATCAAAGACATTTAGAACGTTCCATATTTTCGTTCTTGATGATATATAAAAGTTAACACATCGAATATCAATACAGTAAATGTTATATAGCAATTGAAGAGGATGAATGATAATCTGTATAAAAAAATGTCTTCAGCTAAATTAAAGCTCTAAGGACCGCTCCATTTCGTGGATAAACTATTCCTTTTCCGAATCTTTAAGACGGATATGTTTACTGTAGGCAGGGAAACAGGGCGCCCCGCGTCAGGCCCCACGAGAGGAATGATCAACCATCACAATAGGTTCCTTAGCCGCTGGGAATCGCCGCCTGTTGTGTATTCATATGCAACGTAATGGTTGATCGCCACGTGATGTTTTCAGTTCCTTGCAGCGTATACAGATAATTCAGAAAACGTTGTATACTGAAGATAGTGCATTCGAAGTTCAA